TAACCAAAAGGTTGGCAGTTCGAATCCACCAGCCACTCCTTGGAAACCCTATGGGGCAGTTCTACTCTGTCCTATAGGGTCGCTATAAGTTGGAATCAACTCGACGGCAACGGGTTAGCACAATGCTACTAAAAGTGTAGGCCAGAGATGATGCTGATCCATGAACTGTATGTTACCAGTTTGTGGTGAAATAAGTACAGAAATTGGGAGGAGACATCAAGAAACTTTACAGCGATTTAACGCCGCTAAGAATTCAAGTGCATGATCAGTGCACTTGTCGCATCGAACAGAGTATAGACCAGTTGGGTGTTTTTCAACTCACGCGAGTCATATACATCATGGACTGCAGACTTGTTACGTGTAGTAGGACCACATTACAAAGTTTGGTATTTTAAGGTTAGTTAGGCTCCTATAACTCAAAAATGTATAAAATACAGAATCCATTTCTTTCACTGAAAGATGATTTACCTATAACTGTATAGGATAAACTGGATAAACGAAAATTCTAAGTTTGCTGAAATTTCTTTTAAAAATTCTGTCTTCCATTCCTTGTCAGCTTAGCTCTATGAGACTGATTTCTCTACAAAACAGGATTTAGATTCAAATTATCCCTTGAGTAGTGTAATTTCAATCTAATCCAGGTTAAGATAAATTAATGAGAAGTTTAAAAAATTTAAATATTGATATCCATCACGTTTTTCAAAGTGTTCATAGAGATACTTAATACGGGGAATTGTTATTTCACTCATAACTTCTTTAAGTTATGAGTGAAATAGTTTAGGTACAGCTATTGAATGATGAAAAGTTACAAGTATAATAGCAATACTCAATTGCCTATACATACACTTTCAATGAACATGTACTATTTTAAAAATTTTCTTTTTCCTTTCGTTATGTTTGGTCTGATTATATTTACTAAAGCACAATTCTATAACATGACTGTTAAATATAATAAAAAATGTGACCATGTATTTTGTGCCTGTTTTATTCTTGTGTTTTTTAACTTAATCTAATAGTCTCTGGCTTTTAATGGGAGAATTCAGTCCATTTACATTTAGTGGAATGCCAATTATACTTGACTTTATTCCTTCCATTTTACTGTACGTTTACTAACCTTATATCACTGTTTCCTTTTCCCTATTATTTTTTTTGCTGGTTTGATTAAGTTTCCATTCATTCCATTTTTCCCTTCATTAATTTGGAAGATTTACTGTACTTTTCCACTTTACTTTCCCTTTCCCTGCTTCATTAATCAGATAGGATTTGTATACAACAAATCAACTATTTTTCACCTAGAATATACACTTTCTAGTAGTATATTAATTGCATACCTACATCCCTTTACCACATAATAATTTGGCTATACTGTGGCATTTGCTTTAACAAAACGTTAGCAAAGTACTCTAAATGAAATTTACCTCCGGGAGGTAAGGAACCAGGGCCAGGTCCTGTTACAGCAGTTGGTATTTGCCCTGGTGCTGGAACTCCACCCTGCATAGAAGCTTGCATCAGAGGAGGTGCGCCATTGACATGCATTCCACCCTGACCAAGAGAAAAACCAGAGTATGTACCTGCCTCCATGGAAATTCAATACACTAAGTCTATGACCTTAAAACCCTCTTCAAATTGACACCCCCAAATATTCTACCAAACATCCTTTTCGTACAGTACATCCTATGTGGCATTAGATTTGTAATACACTTTGAATTCCAGAGAAGCAAGCTGCAATACATGTGATGAATCTGGTTATATACAAGATGGTTAAGATGCAGCACGTTCTAAATATAGAAATTGCCAAGTCTTATCTGTGTGGCAAGGCAGAATCTAGCACCTATTTCTGACTTCATGACTGGGGCCTGGCAACGAGAGTAAAAAAAAATAAGTGTCTTGAAGAAGAGGAGGCTGGGACTATTTTTAAAGCAACTTCTAGCTATTTATATTCTTAAGATGGAACAATTTATTTGACTTATCACTTCTCACTCATGTCCTCAGATATAATTCTAGTTTTGGGGGAATGTGAACCCTTTTTTTTTTTTAACAGTACAATTAAAGTTCCCTGAACCAAAAACCCACTGCCATCAAGTTGATTCCAACTCATAGCGACCCTATAAGATAGAGTAGAACTACCCCATAGGGTTTCCAAGGCTGTAAATCTTGACTGAAGCAGATTGCCACATCTTTCTCCCATAGAGCAGTAGTGGGTTCGAACTGCCAATCTTTCAGTTAGCAGTCAAGTGCTTTAACCACTGAGTCACCAGGGCTCCTAAAGTTCCTTGAAGGAAAGGGAATGCTATTTTTTTTATCTATGTATTCCCCCAAAGAACTGAACAGCCCCTTAGAAGAGAAAGAGCTCAATAAAGCATAAAAGCTAGATTATCAAAAAAAAAAAAAAATCACATATACTATCTGAGATAATGAACAGAAACAAAACTCTAAAACAGAAAAGAGGAAATGACGTAGTGAGGCAGTTATGGGAAAACCAGGTGAAGACAGACAGAACAAAGTTCAAATCCTGGATTTGTCCCTTACAATTATGTTAATTTGGACCAGTCAACCTCTCTTGACTTTAGCTTACTTTCTTATCTATTTTTAAAAAAGTATTTATTTATTTAGAGCAGGGATTGGCAAAGTATGGCCTGTGGGCCAAACCTGCCTGGTTTTATAAATAAAATTTTATTGGAACACAACCACGCTCATTCATTTACACATCATTTAAGGCTGCTCTGGCACCACGAAGGCAGAGCTGGATAGTTATGACAGACAGTACGGCCCTCAAAGCCAAAAATATTTACTATTTGGCTTACAGAAAGCCTGCCAACCCCTGTTCTACACTTTTGAACAATCCAAGTTCTTTACCTGTCAGTCTGATAGGTAGTCCCATTCACATTTATCTCATTTTGAGGTTGAACATCTTTTCATATATTTTATATTTGCTTTTCCACTTTTGTGAACCGTTTACGTTCTCTGTCCACTTTTTTCTACTGGGTTATTGTAATTTTCTTACTAATTTACAGGAGACCTTTTTTGTTTATTATGAAAAATCCCAGATATACCAACTATATAGAGATTACTATACAGGTTAGGAAATAAACTATATATAAGTTGAAATTTCCTGCATGGTCTTACCCAACTGTATCCTGTTCCCCCTCCTGCCTAGACAATCACTAAGAACTCCAAAGAGAAGTTTTAAAAGTTTATATAAATCATCACATACTGAACATATTCTTTTGCAACTCACTCGACATGTTTTAAAGATTTATGCTGACACACATATCCCACATTTTGGATAGCTAACATATTCACTTTTTCCTACTGAATGGTACTCATTATGTTTCTGAGTTATCTGTGTTGATACTATATAGCCTAGTCCATCTTAACTGCTGTACAGAATTATGTTTTTGAGAGTCATTCATGTTGATATGTGCAGTTTTTTCATTTTAACTATTGTAGAGTATTCCAATGGACAAATATACCACAGTTCATCCTTTCTTCCCTTGATGCACACTTAGAATGTTTCTAATTTTTCATTGTTATAAACAATGTGGTTAACGGCTCATCATTAAGTCTGCTTTCATTATATGTGTAGCAAATTCTTTTTCACAATTTGTCATTCACTTCTTTTTTCCATACAGAAAATTTTTCAATTTTCAAATGTATCAGTATTTTCTTTTATGGTTTCAGGGTTTTGTGTCATGCTTGGAAAATGAACTTTACTTTTTTCATCAATAAGCATGGAAATAATAAGGATGCCAATTTCAGACAATTATTGTGAGGATTAAGTGAGAGAATGTATACGGAATAATGAAGTGTCAACCACAGAGCAAGGGATGTGCACATACATGTGCATACGCATACGCGTGTGTGTGGGGACACACACACAGCTTGAAAAAAAGACTATACAAGAAAGATCTCTTTCTTTGCTTTACAAATTTGGAGCTGAATGTACATTCATTCAGATGCCATGTACTCTGCAACCTGGAAAATGTTTCATGCTTGGAAATTAAAATTATCATCTACAGCAGAATAATTCCTGACCATTCTTCTTCCAATATATACTCCTAAAAATAAATGACATTCTAAGACAAACAAAAGAAACATTAAGGGATAAAGCCCTACCAAAGACTGGGCCGGAGGAGCCTGAGGATTTTGCTGGTTCATTGACACGTTGGATCCTGGGCCAGGCCCAGCGCCATGGACTGGCTGAGGGTTGCCTGCAATCAGTGTTGGGATATTTGTCTGGCGATGCAAAATTTTCTAAAAATCAAAAAGACCACTCTATGAGCTGTCCATTTAACAAAGCAATCAGGCAGTTCCCACCCCACCCAAGGTTTACTCTACCATTTCCATAAAAGAACCAAAAGCACTCACCAGGGCAATCTCTGGATCCACAATTCTCATCACCACCTGTGCCTGGAGCAAGGCATAAGCCAGTTGAGGGTTCTGAAGCAACATGTTCCGTGCTTCCTGAGGACTATTCTGGACACAAAGCTGAGAAGATATGCAGATTTCATCATCAGATTCAATACTTACTACTTAGAGGTAGATAATTAATTTAGTGCCATTCCCATCTGAGAAATGTAATATTCAAAAGGCTCTTTAAGCTATCATTGGTTTTTGCATAACACACACAGTCTTGGTCATGGCAGGCAAAAAAAGTAAGAGGCATTTCAAATACCATAATATTGTCATTTAGGGGAAAAAAAGCACACTTTAATATCTACATTTGATTTCTATGGGCCACAAAACAGTCAGATTGTCTGTATAGGTGTGCTTCTTTGTGTACAAAAATGGGAAGCTCTTTGTATAAAATGTAAAATACACTACACATGTACAGAATACCGAAGGTGCACGAAACGGTGGTCTACAAGCACACCTATCTGAGCTCAGGGAACCATTTCCACTGTTTATCAATCACTCCTTAAAAATCCAATGTGATTTGATTTGTTCATAACCTAATACCTCATCCCACCTTCATTTGTTTCATCAGCTCAAACATCTGTTCTGGTGGAAGACTGGCAACTGCTTTGCTAATGGACTCAGGGGCATCCTCAGGACTGATGGTCTCTCCATAAGGTGACTCAATGACAGGGGCACCAGTGCCAAGGCCTGATCAGGAAGAAAGCACAAGAAAGTTAAGGAGACAAAATAAAGTGCTAAATCACTTCAAGTATCTACTTTCCAGGGCTACCGTAAGGACCAGTTGATAACTTAAAAATTCTTCGGAGCTGTCGAGAAGGGAGAGGGTTGACATGTTGTGGGGTTGTTAACCAATGTCATAAAACAATATGTGTACTACTGTTTCATGAGAAACTATTTATTCTGTAAGCCTTCACCTGAAGTACAATTAAAAAAAAATTCTTTGGAGCTGTGAAATAAGTGATTTGCAAGTCTCTTGTTTCCGTGGGGTCAAGTGACAGAGTGTAATTTTCTGCTCTCAGAGGGAAGAGGGGACCATAGTGACACAGATGGACAATGTTAACCTAAGGTAGGAAACTAGGTATATGAATTTCTTTTGACAAGACACTGCACGAGCAAAAGGTTTAAACAGAAATAAAGATGTTACTTTCAAAATGGAATTCCTAAATCTATTACTTCATGGGAAAGAAAAACAAAAAAACAAAAAAAACATAAGAACGCCTTAGTATCCTACCAGTTATAGATCTGGCAATATAAGTCATAGGAGTGGCAAACACTAACAACATGATTCGCACCTACTGATGGCTTGGTGAGCCTGAATAACTTCATCTTCAACTGGAAATCAATTCCCTCTTGGCAACTGAAGGACTTTCCATGTCAACTTTACCTTGTTTCTCAAAGATATATACTTCCCTAACTCAGGTACCTCAAGTTAATCAAATAAAGAAACTGTGTTGATAACCATTTCAGCATACTCTAGAACATAACCTAAATGGAAAATTTTCACTGTTACATTTTTATTAACCTGTATTTCATACAACTTGAGTTTATACTTACTCTTCAGCTCTTCTTTGTTCTTCTCACTAGCAGCATTATCCACTCGAAGTGCTCTACCACTAAACTCACGCCCATTCAGGTTCCGCATGGCACTAAGGGCCGTCTCCTGGTCTTGGTATTCACAGAAGCCATAACCCTTTGGTTTTCCTGTCTCTCTGTCATACACCAACCTGGAGAGCAAAACCAAGTATTGGACACAAATGTTACATACACAGGGTTCCTGCTAACACTTCCATGCTCTAATTTGGCCAACCATAGGATAAAACTTTACAATTCTGACCTTGCCCCACTAAAATGTTTTTAATCATTTTTTTAATGAAAAAAAATCTTTTAGATAAGAATCCATGTGAATTATATGGTATGCTAATTATACCTCAATAAAGCTGTCATTAAAAAAAGAAGAATGCATGTAAAAAGTCACCAGTATTAAAAACAAAAACAAAAAAAACTTCCTAACTATTCCTAATGGCCAAATTTGTGGCGATTTTTAACAAGAAAACCCTACCAGGAAGCAAAAGAAGGGGACCTCACCTGAAACTAACAACAGGTCCAACCTCAGAAAAGATGTCTTTTAACTGTTCTTCAGTAGCTTCATAAGGAATGTTCCCCACTGAGGAAGAAAATAGGTGACATATTAAAATCCTGAGTTTGTAATCTAGATCTTTAGTGAGAATACAAACAGTACATTATCTACTTATATCATTGGGTATGTAACAATTGTCTCATAATACAATGTTCTTCAAATCCTAGTTCCATGGAACTCCTTCAGACCAGATTCCAATCTTATCTGCTGACAAAAGCGAAATAAACCACTGATGAGACTCGATAAAAAAAGGTGTAAGCACTCTTAAACGTTAGTTCTCAGACTGATGTGACAAGTGTTAGACTTCCCTTAACTTTGGTGAAAATAAATACTTAGGCATAGGTATTTTCCTAAACGTCTGCAGGTCTTATTTCCCACCCAATAACTACTAAAAATGGAGCCCTGGTGGCGCAGTGGTTAAGAGCTTGGCTGCTAACCAAAAGGTCAGCAGTTCAAATCCACCAGCCGCTCCCTGGAAACCCTATGGGGCCGTTCTACTCTATCCTATCTGGTCGCTGAGTCCAAACTGACTGGATAGCAATGGGTTTGGGTTTTGGTAACTACTAAAAATATTATCATTTTTTAGAAGAGGCTCAAATGTCCGTATTTCCACACACATACACACACTTCGGAAAGAAAGTCCAAGAATGCAGTGGAGGATGTTTAACAATTATTCTTAATTGTTTTGTCAAGTTCCTTTTCAAAAGGTGCTTTAAAATCACCACACATACTTTGAAAAACGACTTATTTCGGCAGAAAAATTTACTCAGAATAGATTTAATCGTCTTCAGAATTCCTTCGACGAGGTCTTACTGGTTTGTTCATTCATTTATTTATAATCCACCTCAGGACACCAGGTGGCCGCTATCACTACGGATGAATTACATTACCGGTAAAAACCAGAGGAAGAAAGTCCTTATCTGAGGACGGAAAGTGGACACAGGGATCTTCCCCCTCAGCATTTAATCTGCATTTTGCAATAGGGGGTGAACAGTAGTACGGGACAGTGAGGGACTGTCGCCATGCGCCCTCGCTTCCAGATAATAAAACTGAAGCTCATGAAAGGAGAAACGCACAGAAGCTGAACGCTCGCCTAACTCCCGCAACAATATCGCAGTAAAGCTGCGGAAACTCGGGAGAAGGGAAGCATCTCTTTGCCCACAAATCCACCAGGTTGGCCGCCCACAGGATAAGCAGGAAGAGCTCGACGCCCGACCTATCACCGGCTCCGGTTCATGAGGTGGGAGAGTTGCAGGGGGCGTTCCTCGCCGCTCCCTGCCTCTTTCTGCCCTTCCCGGACGCTGGGCTCCACTGAATTCCCCTCACCGAACACAGAACGTAGTGAACGATCCACCGCAGGGTCCCTCACAGTCAAACCCGCCATCGCTCTCTTCAGGCGGCTTCCGGTACGCTATACACGCTTCCGTACGGCGCGTGAGGCGGAAGCTCCTGGGCAGGCGGACGCAGGGCGCCTCCCTTGGCGTCATTCCGTCATCCGCAAGCTCCGTTTATGTCCGTGAGGGGAATAACCTTCTTGTCGTCTAGCTGCCGCCTGATAATAACACCGTTCTGAACTAGATTCTGGCGGATCCAGGCTAATTCGAAGGCTTTAGTCTGTAGAATTCTTTGTTGTTATTCATTTTCTCTTAGGTCAAGGCATCATCGACCACAATACAGATGGCAACAGCGGTTTTTACCATGGTAACAGGGAGCTCATTTACCAACAACGGGCACACTTCGGTTTTAGTTTGCCTTATTAAGGGAGGGAAATGCTTGCCCTGCCTCAGAAGCGTGCCTTCTATTATTTTGCTAAAGCTGCGAGTGTACGGAGTGAGATTAGGAAAGAGAGTCCCGCCAGCCAAGAGAATGAGGGGCGCTTAACGCCAGGGCGCCAAGATAGCTGAGGAGTTGGAGAGGTAAAGGAGAACAGTCCCGTGTCTGCTCTCGTGTAGCCCCTGGGCTCTATATGCGTGGTGGTGGTGGTAGGGGCCAGTGGAGAGGACACAGGCAGGCAGGGGATTGTAAACAGAACATAAAGCATCATTGACCATTGGTACCAAATTCTGGTGCCTCCGCTCCTGGAATATGGCATGCAGGACTAGTTGCCACCTCGCAGGAAGATACAGCCTGCCAGGGTTGGAGGAAGGGACCTAAGCAGAACCAGGTTGGGTAGGGTCGGGGAGGAAGGAATCAAGAGCACTCTCTGTGAGAGACTTTCTCCGAAAAAGGAAGGCAGAGATGCTAAAATATCTACAGAATTTGACACAAGGACGTTTTATTCCAGATAGATAGCAGATTAGAAGTTGTGTGTGTGTGTAGATCCTCGCTTGAAGTATGAGGAATATTTGTTAAAAAATAAGTGCTGCTTTACACCTTGGAGCATATCATTTCAAGTAGTAATTTGGACAAAAATAAAAAGTTTGGAAGAGTTTTCCCACTTCAATGACTCTGGGTTCCCACTTGCAGTTACTGTGTGATCAAGAAAACATCTTGGGTAATAAAATAGTCCCAAACAAGATTTCGAAGAGCTTTGGTGAGCCATTGTCCCAGTGTGGTGAACTTTGAATAAATGCATGTATGGCCGAGTATGTTTCTCACCTAGTGTTTCCCAAACATGAATGTGCAAAAGACTCACCTGGGGTGCTTATGAGCAGAAATTCCTGGAGCTCCACCCCAGGCCTATGGAATGAGATTCTAGGGGAGGAATCTGAGAATAGTTATTTTTAATCAAGTGCCCTTAATGATTCTTAAGAGTCAGGCAGTTTGGACAGCATTGTACCTATTGAGGTAGCTTTATGGCAACATTTAAGACGATGCTTTCTTATAAAATTGCCTTTACATTAGTTCTCAACCTAGAACTACCCTTTTGTGGAGGAAGGTGTTTGGAAATGTATCAGAGTGTTTTTAGTTGTTGTAATGACTGAGAGAGCGCCATTTGGGAGAGGGAGCCAGAGATGATAAATGTATTTCCGGGTCCAAGACAGCCCTACACAATGAATCCTTCCCCCTACCTAATGCCAATTCTCTCCCCTTGAGAAACTGAAAATTTAGTACCCTTGTTAGTATCAGCAATACTAGACTAAAATGGATCCTGGATCTGAAGACCTTGTTGCATTGCCAGCATTGCACAGGTAGCTTATATTTTAGCCTTCTTATAACTGTGCAGGTGATCCCAATGAATTAGTAATAATAAAAGCTAATACCACTTGAGATGTTTCAACAAGTGGATGCTATGCTGGAAGTGCTTAATGTCTATGCCAAGAACTTTGGAAGACATATACCTGGCCAACCGACTGGAAGAGACACGTTTATCTGCGCCCAGTCCAAAGAAAGGTGATCCAACAGAAAGTGGAAATTATAGGACAATATCATTAATAGCACACACAAGTAAAATTTTTCTGAAGATCATTCAAAAACGGTTGCAGCGGTACATCAACAGGGAACTGCTAGAAATTCAAACTGGATTCAGAAGAGGACGTAGAACGAGGGATATCATTGTTGCTGTCAGATGGATCTTGGCCGAAAGCAGAGAATACCACAAGATGTTTACCTGTGTTTTATTGACTGTGCAAAGACTGTGGATCGTAACAAATTATGAATAACATTGCGAAGAATGGGAATTCCAAGGCATTTAATTGTGCTCATGAGGAACTGTAAAAACAGCGTGAAGGCAGTGTCTGACCTCCTCTAACTTCACCAGGGGGAAGGAGAACCAAGATCTATAGCCAAAGACTGATTCCTATGAGGCGGGGGTCAGACATGCCTCCTCTCTCTGCCATCTTTACTAATTCTGACACCAACCATCCCTCCCACGGAACTCTATTTCTCTATTGGGTTTGATAATTCGTTGCAATGGCCACACAGAACTCACAAACAAGACTTACGATTATGGGGTTTATTAGGGAAGTAATAGGTTACAATTCAGGCTCAGGAACCCTCAAGGATACAGTTCTTCCATCAGGACAGCCTCTTCTCAGCCTTGCTCGCAGGCACACTTCTCCCTGGCCCTAGGCCTCTGCCCAAAGGCACTCAGCTTTCTCTTTGGGCCAGGAAGCCCTGCGCGCCGCCTCCTGCTGCTGGGTCCCTGCTGCCAGGTCTCTCCTGCCACCACCTCTTACTGTCTTCAGGTTTATAGCTCTCTCTCTCTCTCTCTCTCTCTCTCTCTCTCTCTCTCTCTCTCTCTCTCTCGGTCTCCTGCTTCCAGGAGCTTCTCAGCGCAGGGATTATGGGTCCAAACGATGTGTTGGCTCCTGGCTATTCTTCCTTGGTGGTGGTGGGATCTTCTATTTCCCACCTCTGGGGTGGTTCATTTCAAGCCCAGCAGGATGGCAAAACTGACCAATCACTTTGGTGGGGCACAATTACCCTATCACACAGTCCTGCCCAATCACCTGGGTGGGAGTTACAAGACCATGGTGAGAGAGGCCACACAAAAGCTATCCATCACACTGCAGGAACATGTCCATAGACCAAGAGGCAGTCATTCAAACAGAACAGGGGGATACTGTGTGGTTTAAAATCACGAAAGGTGCATATCAGGCTTGTACCCTTTCATCATATTTATTCAGTCTGTATGCTGAGCAAATGATCTGAGAAGAAGAATGTGTATGTGTGTGTGTGTGTGTGTGGTAGGTACTCGCTCTAGGATATATTCCTAGGAGTGGGATTGCTGGATCATATGACATTTCTGTTTCTAGCTTTTTATGGTGGTGCCATATCTTTTTCCATAGTGGTTGTACCATTTTACATTTCCACCAGCAGTGCATGAGAGTTCCAATCTCCCCAACATTTGTTATTTTCTGTTTTTTTGATTTGTGCCAGTAATGTCAGGGTGAGATGGTATCTCACTGTAGTTTGGATTTGCATTTCTGTAATGGCTAATGATCATGAGCATTTCCTCATATGTCTGTTAGCCGCCTGAAATGTCTTCTTTGGTGAAGTATCTGTTCATATCCTTTGCCCATTTTTAATTGGATTATTTGTCTTTTTGTTATTGAGGTGTTGAAGTATTCTATAGATTTGAGGAATTAGACCCTTGTTGGATATGTCGTAGCCAAAAAATTTTTGCCAGTCTGTAGGTTCTCCTTTTACTCTTTTGGTGAAGTCTTTTGATGAGCGTAAGTGTTTAATTTTTAGGAGCTCCCAGTTTTCTAGCTTATCTTCTGCTGTTCGTGCATTGTTATGGTTTGTTTTGAATTTATGCCATGTATTAGGGCCCCTAGTGTTGTCTTATTTTTTCTTCCATGATCTTTATCGTTTTAGATTTTATATTTAGGTCTTTGACTCATTTTTAGTTAGTTTTTATGTATGATGTGAAGTATGGCCCTGTTTCCTTTTTTACAGATGGACATCCAGTTTTGCCAGCACCATTTGTTAAAAAGACCGTCTTTTCCCCATTTAATAGACTTTGTTCCATTTGCCTATATGTCTGTCATTGGACCAATACCAGGCTGTTTTGACTACTGTGGCTGTATAGTAGGTTCTGAAATCAGGTAGTGTGAGGCCTCCTACTTTGTTCCTTTTCTTCAATAATGCTTTATTATCTGGGGCCTCTTTCCTTTCTGTATAAAATTGGTGATTAGTTTTTCCATCTCGTTAAAGAATGGTATTGATATTTGGATTGGGATTGCATTATATCTGTAGATTGATTTGGGTAGGATTGACATTTTCATAATGTTGAGTCTTCCTATCTATGAGCATGGTATGTTTTTTCATTTATGTAGGTCTCTTTTGATTTCTTGCAATAGTGTTTTATAGTTTTCTTTGTATAGATCTTTTATGTCCTGGGTTAGATTTATTCCTAAGTATTTTATCTTTTTAGGGGCTATTATAAATGGTATTGTTTTCCTGATTTCCTTTTCATCATTCTCTTTATTGGTGTATAGGAATCCGACTGATTTTTGTATGTTTATCTTGTATCCTGCTACTCTGCTGAATCTTTCTATTAATTCCAATAGTTTTATTGTGGAATCTTTGAGGTTCTCTATGTATAGGATCCTATCATCTGTGAATAGGGAGAGTTTTATTTCTTCCTTTCCAATTTGGAAGCCCTTTATTTCCTTTTCTTGCCTTATTGCTCTAGCTAGGACTTCGAGCACAATGTTAAATAGGGGTGGTGATAAAGGGCATCCTTGTCTTGTTCCTGTTCTCAGGGGAATAATTTCAGCCTCTCTGCATTGAGAATGATGTTGACTGTTGGTTTTGTATAGATGCTCATTATTATGTTGAGGAATTTCCCTTCTATTCCTATTTTATTGAGAGTTTTTATCAGGAATGGGTGTTGTACTTTATCAAATACCTTTTCCGCATTGATTGAGATGATCAAGTGATTCTTTTCTTTTTTCCATTTATGTGGTGGATTATGTTGATTGATTTTCTGATGTTGAACCATCCTTGCATACCTGGTATGAATCCCACTTCTTAGTGGTGTATTTTTTTTGATATGATGCTGAATTCTATTGGTAAAATTTTGTTGAGAATTTTTGCGTTTATAGTCATGAGAAATATTGTTCTGTAATTTTC